TTAATTAGGACTATTTGTTCTCGAAGTTCCGTAACTGTTGTTTCATATACCTAGATTACATAAGTGAGGTCTTTGTTAAGTCTATAAAGTTGTTGTTTTCATATGTTTCTACCAAAACCTAGAAATTTTCCTAAATAGAGGCAAGGTTCCCCTGGATCATCTTGCCCATACCCTTAGGATCATCTTGGACACAGACGACAAGACGTAGGCAAGTAGTTTAGTAGGGTTTTAAAAATATTCAAATATAATAATGACAGATCAAAAAATACAACGTTTTGAGTAAGACAACATGTAAATAGATAAATTTTCTATTATTCAACGCTTTTACATCTGCTTTAAGCTGAATATCTTTTAAACTACCACCATTCTCCCTTAAGGGGATCATCTGGTACACCTTTCCCCTATACAGTGTAAGCCATCGATATGATAAGAAGAAGTTACTAAAGTTAGCTTAGTCAGAGTCCAAATATATTCTGACATTATACAAACAACATAGGAAACTTAGCCATTGTCATAAGTCATATTGTTATTATACCAGTATCTGACACTATTTTTAAAACTATTTTCGTGTGAATTCTGATTACATGTGAAAGGTTTTGCGATGGTAAAATCCATAGATATAGCGTTCTATATGTCATCATTTGGAAATCAATCAATATGTATGTCGGAGTATGGCTTCACAGCCAGGGAGTCTTTGGGGGAAACATCCTCAACCACTGATTTAGCCAGAAATCACTTGATAATTGGCCTATTTACTTTTCGTTATCAATTCGATAAGCTAGCAGGGAAATAATAACGTCAATTGATTGCAATTAATTCGTTTATCTAGTTTTCATAGTAATTAGTTCAAAAGTACAAAAGATGGATCAGGCTAAAACGAATTTTAAATGTCACGCGGTAAGTTCACAGAGAGCGGCGGCCGCCATCCTTCACTTTCCAAGTCAAGACACAAAAAGCCCCTTTTGTCACTGCGCGTTCGTTTATAAAAAATCGATCATCCACATCACTTTTTATTTTCACATGGCAACTCTGCCAATGTCCATTACCTTATACTATAGGATCATGTCAGATGACTGATTAAACTGTACAGATTCAAACGACACCAGTGCCGCCTTTAATATAACCCTACCCAGTTTGAACTGTTAAACTGATGTGACATTTGTAAAAAAGAAACCATGGTCGAGACTAGTTAATATGATACATGGGTAGCCTAGTAAATCATTTGTTTATTAATTAGAAAACAATATTAGCTAAGATTTATCCTCTATAATCGTAATCTCATCGGAATTGTCCGTCCATCCAATCGTCCCATCGTAAAGCACATTCCTTAAAAATTCAACGAAATTCTGCTATATTACATTTAAAGCGATAACTGGCGTCGAAATGTGTAATCAATTCAATGTCACAGCCAATCGACAACTTTAGACCGGAATCGAAGTTAACATCTTGATGCCAACAATATCCCAGTGACTCCTTCTCGATTTATGTCTGCAGAATATAGGCTAAATATACACTGTACGTCGTTTCTTCACATCAACTTTTGTTAATTTTAGATTATAAATCAAGCTATGAACTTTTAAATAGGCATTGCTTCAATTCGCTCGAAGAGTTTTACTCCCAAGTTCATTATGCGAATAGCTATGGAGTGGAATACTTTGCTGGGTTGGGTATTTTCTGAATAATAAACCTGGATATTTTAAACGCAGAGTGAATAATATTTTTTTAACATTATGATTCGCTCTTCCTTTTCCTACATAGAGTTTATTAAGTATACAGGGTATAATATTTAAGTGTGCCCAGGCGATTATACATAAATATAAAAGAAATTAAAAACCAATAAATTGATATCGAAATTACTTACCTAATAAGTAAAATAACTTCAATTAATTACTTTCTAAAAAATAAGACTAGAAATATTTGTATGGCCTACATTTATTTCTTTCGTGATTTTGGGTGTACAAATTTCTATTGTTTTACCCGCGATACACGGTTTCCCTAGTACGGGGCTAAGAGCGTGTGCGTTATTATAATAATAATTATTACAATGTATGGCAGTGTTTAACGTTAAAATTTTTCATAGTTCTAGTTTTATTTTTAAAAAGGTATTGATGTCATTTTTCTCATTTAGTAACGTACGTTTGATATAGGTTTAATGGTTTTTTATATGTATTATATTTACGAAATAATCGCCTGGGCACACTTAACGATTTCACCCTATATAACGCCCTTTATTTAATGCCACCAGGATGATTTGGAGTCAGCCAGATATTACCAAAAATCAATGGAACAGAAGAAGGATTGTGCCTAGCAGTGAGACAGAACATGGAGTCTACTCCCATTCTCCGTCCAACATCCGTTCGAAACAATGACGTCAAATAAGTAATACTCGATTAAATAAAAAAGACAATGTCAAGTATGAAGATAGTACAGGGCCAGGCTCATATGTAGTAATATATTAGTGCCATATATAATGTACATAATTCGTGCCCTTGCAAACAGACAAGTTTTCAGAAGAACACTTATGTGTGTAGTAAATAATTGCACAAAAAATAATTGAAAATCAATTCAATACAAATTGAATTACAATGAATAGCGATATCTCTAGTCTAAGCCGGTACCTGTAAAGTTATCTAACTGTGTAACGAAACACTTTCATAGATTTCTCATAGATGGCGCTACGGCTAAAAAGTTGTTGAAAACCAAATACAAAGATCTGACAAACAAGCACATAGAAAAATTCGTGAGGTCCGCTAGTTCGTTACGTGGCTTAATTGGCATAGCTTCTGGCTGGCTGTGCTAGAAGACGTCGTCGGTTCGAATCCAGCCAGATTGAAGGATTTTTTTCTAAATCTTCGATTTTTGTATTAATAATTATAAAAAATTGTAAAGAATCTACAAACGAAATAAGTCAATATTTATGCTTAAAAGTGTCGTTCATATTACTGTTAAGACGAATGATCTCATGTGGCTTTATTATACCAATGGTAAGTTTTGTAGTTTTGAAACTAAGGAATTCTCTGTACTATGAGTACCAGAGTAACAGAATTCACTCCGGGAAAGCACCCATTTTACGCTAATTTATATCCATATACACTGGGTTTTGTTCCCGCCTGCTTCGCATAGTCACAAATCAACTAGACGTAAAGTATTCGACTGTAATACTGCCGATGTTTCATCGATTTGTACGAAATGCTTTCCTTTGAAAAGTTGGCCAGAGTGCACAGGTATTTTCAAGGAAAACCTGTACTAACTTCATCCTTATCTTTATAATCCAGCAGATGAGATTAAAATAATCAGGCTAAATAAAGAAATATTAACGGTACTTGAATAGTAAAAACCCGTTTAGTTCTTACAGATTGTGTCGATATATTTGAAATAAATATTGCAAATGTGTACAAATGTTTATTTACAAAGAACAACCCCAAGAGTTGCTTACTCATTCTTCTTAGGGGACTCTGCCTAACGAACAAACAGTAGAGTATAATTAATGTCATGGTTTCAAGTGTAATTTGCTTACATTATGAAAAAGAAAGATTATTTGACTTTTTGTTCACTTAAACAAAAATTCTTTCAAAAATTGCGAAGATCCACTAAACTGGGTATATTTATTACGTCAAAGAGACACTAGTGGGATATTTGGCATTAAGCCGATGTGCACCAAGGGACCACAGTCACGATAGTACCTTTTGGTCTACTCATACATTTTAGAAATAATGTCCAACGTTCCTGCATAGAACGCTACCGTAAGTGCTTTAAAACTCAAGTTTGCACTCATCCTAAGGTGAACTAAACGTCAATTACGGAAAGTTGTAGTGATGTTTGTAACTGGAACCGTGATGATGTCACGTAATCTAACTTTGGTGAATGTGTACGGAATATTGGATAAGTTATTAAACAAGGACATAAATCATAGTTGTCTTGCGACGTATTAACATAGTTCCAAATTTTCTACAAATTTCACACCTTTCTAATGAATCACGTTCTATGTCATTTGTTTTTGATTTATCTGAATGAATACTCTTTTCAAATATTTTTTCTTTCAAATATTTCAAACATACTCTGTAGTATCATGCATAAAGCATAAACCATTATCTTTATTGACTCACTCCTCTTGTCGTCCACTTAAGGCACTATGCCATGTCGTAAAAAAAAAAAGTATTTAGCCCGTCCTGGTTTATAACTTCAACTCCGCTCATCAAAACATGGTGTCAGAAGATGAAGAAGATTTTAAAGACCCGAACATTCAAGACCGGACCGGTATCATTCGAGACCGGAGCACAATTATTGTGCTCTGGTTATCGTATGATATCTATAATTATTATAGGTGCGATAAAACCTCTCCGAAATGATAGCCGGAACAATGGCGGACATGGAAACAAAAATTTGAAACTTACATTGAAGCAAATAGCCTAAATGATTTGCCTGAATTGCGACTAGTCAACTCAATACAAACAGAAGCAAGATAACTTTAAGCGAATTGATATAAAAATTTTATGAAAAATTCAACCCGTTAAAAAATGTGACCGTTGAAAGATACAATTTCTTTTAAAAGGTAAATTCGTCATTGGACTCTTTGACAAAGGCGTACAATAAAGATAATGGTTTATGCTTTATGCATGATATAGAGTATGCAACAATAATCTGTGACACTTCACAACCAAATTCACTTCTCTTTTTAAAGAAAACTCTATCACAACCTTTCCAATCAATGCACGATAATGGATCCTCATCAAATTCTTTACAAGATACAAGAATACAACTTTCAACATAAGTTCGTATATAGGTATTTCCATTTCATGTCTACTAGTTAATTCGAGATAATAATATGATGTAAAGCTCTCTTCTGTATCCAATAGGTACCTGAAATATCACGATAGAATTCATCCATGTTAGTTTTATATATCTCTCCCGCACATTTTCACTTACACAATGAAACATTATACAACTTACACATTTTTCAAATTATTCTTACTTGCAAGTACTTTTCTATCGTACATATTTTACGTTTCAAGCGCAATTTCATCAGGTCTCGAGCTTGAAGCCTGGTGAGCCCGAAGTACATCAGCTGACGTCGACTTGATGCAGTTGTTCATATGAATATCAGAAGATGCATTGGAATGATGATGCTCTCGACGTTGGCGATGGCAGCAGTAGCGGCGAGCGATATCGCCACACAGAGACCTGATGACAAAAATTGGTATCAGAATTATCTGTACATATGTATATTGGCAAAACAATTTAGGGATAATTCGACACATTCGTAGAACAAAGACCTATGTGCAAGACTGCTTATTCTCAGGACATTGTACATTTCTATTGTTGTTCTTCGCTGCGGATATTAGATCTTATAGGTTTTATATTTCCGAAACGAATGAACATATAAAAATTCTGAATACGCCTATAGATAGGTCCTAGTTTGAATAATGAGACTTATATTTATCCTCTTTTTGCTGTATAATCACATCGGACTCTATTCTTCGGATGAGTCGAATCATTAATACAAAGATCGAACGCAAAGAAAAATTCCTTCAAGGACAACAAACGAAACAAAACCAAACCAAAGAAAAATTCATGAAATCTATATCTAGTTCTTAGGTTTTCGTGATTGTTATACATAGGGAATTAAACTATTTTTCCGGATTTACATTGTTTTTCCAAAAAAAGCAACTGAGGAAGATTTCTCAGTTCCTGAGACCCGTGAAATGTAACGTCTCCTTACAAGATGCAGGCGTTTACAAGCTTGACTGCGAGTGCGGTCTCTCTTACATTGGACAAACGAAGCAAAATGTTTGTACGCGTCATCAAAAAACATAATAGCTCATGTCAAACACCGTCGTGTAAACAAGTCTGCAGTCTGCGAGCATGTCATGGATAAACCTACACATTCAATCAAGTTTGACAAACCCCAGGTCCTTGCAAAAGAAATCCGTTATCTACTCAGGATGCTGCAAGAGGATATTGAAATTAAAAAATATCCTAATTTCAACAGTTTGGGATCCAATATTTTCTTTGATGAAAAATCTCAAACAGACTTAGACGTCTGTTTGAAAAAACAAATATACGCGATTTAAATCCGGAATAATAGTTTCATTTCCTATTCATAAAGTCTGCTTACTCGATCAGTTGGTAGAGCGGTTACCCTGGTATGGCAGAGACACACGTGCCCAGTTAGATCAAAGGAATTTTTCTTTGTGTTCGATCTTTGTATTAATAATTATAACAAATTACAGTAATCACAAAGATTAAATGTAAAACATCATAATATTAATTATAATCAGTATTACAATTTAGGGATGATAGCGCGACTCTGACTTGTTCTGGACCAAAGAACTTTAAGAAGGGACAAGGTTAAACTAATTCATTATAGCGACGTCTTTAGGCAGACGGCTTCGTATGTAAAATAGGAATAGTACACAAAAGTAGGCCTTTTCATTTGGACAAAGTATGAATTTAACCTTCTAACTTATAATCTTTCAGGTTCTAATATTAGCTTTGAGAAACTTAAAGATATGAATACGCAGTTGAGTAGTACACTAGCAAACAGCGTTATGTGCGTGGATAAAAACAAGCTATAAACTAAAAAAACAATTATCGTTCCGAAAATAGATTTTTAAATGGTACTTTTTTTATTATATGAAAATTGTGGTAAAAAAGATATAAACAATATGAAGAAACAAAATCACAGTATTAAACTTTTTACTTTATTTCCATTTAAAAATTGAACGTAGAGAGTTTTATTTATTTATTTAAACACTTTATTGTACCACAAAGTAACTTACAAATTTTCAGAAACAATTTAAATATTTGTGTACAAAGGCGAGCTTATCCCATAAAGAGATTTCTTCCAACTAACCTTTGAAAATCTGAGAGGAAAGTTGGTTTTTGGGGCGGCACTAAAAATAGATAAGTAAAGAAATGAAATATACTATACTCAATAAATACACAGATAAATTTAATAAATCAAATGTACATACGAATATATATATATTAAGTAATGTTGATACATTAATACATACAAAGTCTATAATAAATTGAATGTACAAAATAAAACTATAAATAAATATATCAAATTTTGCGTTTTAAATCTAGAGTTTTGCAACAGTAATCTTAAAATAACTAGTTTTGTAATTGTTCAGTATTAACGTAGCTAGTTTTGCAACAACACTATGATAACATGGCTAGTTTTGTTATAATAATAGTAAAAACTTGAAACTTGAATGTAGTTTTTATTTACAAAATAGCAATTTTGCACGTGTTTATACTCAATAGAGCAGCGTTTGCAAGTTGACGACTAAATGGAAACTTTTGAAAGCGTAAAACTAAGAAAGGTAACGACTTTTGCAAAAGTCGTCAATATTTCACACTCATTTGTTCAGAATATACCAATTTTGGCACTGTATTGTTGAAGTATTTGAAATTATCGAGTTCTTTGGTTTTCGCGATTGTTACACATAAAATGAAACTATTTTTCCGGATTTAAATCGCGTATATTTGTTTTTTCAAACAAATCCACGTTTCGGGCCCTTTACAGGTCCCATGGTCACGGTTGACTGAGGTGGTACAGTCTTCTGAAGACTGTGTATTTGAAATTATTTAAAATACTGAACCATTTTACGCCATTAACTAAAAATAATTAAAAATGTCATATAGCGCTGTTTGCAAGTGGACTACTCAATTACTTTAATTTGCTGTCAGGTCAGGAAATATCCAGAACAGAAGGACTATTGATGGATAGAATCTTAACAAGCTATGATAATGTATAATGTTGAATGGTATATATAGCTTCTGGTGAAATAGTTTTTGGGGGACAATTAAAAGATAAGATACTTGAAGAGGAAACGCAACAAATCAAGGGATAAAGGCCCATTTTTATATAAGCTTACATAGCATTCTCTAGTTCTATATAGAATATACAGAAGGCTTGCCTGACAATTTATATAGTTTATGTATATGTAACTGTAAAACAAGCTGGATAGGTAGGACTTAGTTTAGATACTGAAATGACAAAAGTCTTATTCAATCCAGAAAGAAATAAGAAAATAAGAGAAAGAAATAATACGGGTAATTTGGGTCTATAAATGGTCCATAATGACGATCTTAGTGGCCCAACGGCTTGCACTGTGGATGCTGAATGCGGAGGCTCCGGGTTCGATTCCCGGTAGGACCAATTTGTTAAAGAAAGTTTTCTAAATCGGTTCTGGTGTGTGTGTTCCGGGTAATACCCCGGAATGAATTCCATTGCTCTGGTACTCATAGTTGAGGGTATTCCCTAGTTTAGGATTAGGCAATTGGTGTGATTGTTGTCTGGCACATTATTAGCGTTTGCTCACTTCATCTAATAAATAAACTTCATAAAAGAAAAGAAAACTAGGACCCACGTCGGATGTCGCTTGTGCACTAAGTCCAATTCGAATTCCACAAAATACGAATATCGCTTGTACACCTTTTTTTTTTTTTTTTTTTTTATCGCTTGTACACCTAGAGATAAAATGATTCCTGTGACATTTCGGACCGTCATTGGAACTGGGGGTCTACTCTCGATCTCTGTCCGACATCCGTCCGAAACAATTACTGTCAAATAAGTAATATTCGACAAAATTAAAAGACAAATATCCAGTATGAAGCTTCATTCGCATCACGCGTCTTTTCATTTGGTCAAGTATTGCTTATTTGGCAGTAATTGTTTCGGACGGATGTCGGACGAAGATAGACCCCCTGATACAAATCAGACGAAGTGCGCTAACTCTCTAACTTTGAAGGAACGAGCTACAGCTGAGCACACATCTCCTCTCATAATGACACATCTCCTCTCATAATGGCCCTGCTATTGTGAGAGGAGACGAGTTCCATGGCATTGGTGTTCTTTTTTTACAGCTCTGAATGCTTTTCCCTTTTAAACGAATCGTCAAGAAGATAAAAAAATGCAGAAGGAAAAACATTACAAAAAAAATAATACAAAAGGCATAAAAATTTCGTTCTTTTTTCATACTCATAGCCCCGTATTAGGAATACCGTGTATCGCGGGTGCTTTGGACATACACATAGATAGCCGCAACTTACATCCAAACTCATGAAAGAAATAAATGTAAGCCATACAAATCAATAATCCCACTGGGCTCAATAAAATGATTTTCAGTTGCGTGCAGGTTTCCTCACACGATACGTTTCTTCATTATAAAGCTCATGGTAAATTTCTAATTCAATTTTGCACATACGTTCCAAAAAATTCCGAGCTTCGAACCTACGCCGTCTACTTGTCTGCTAAGTCAAACCATTACGTTATTATTATCGCTTGAGTAAACAGTGTGATAAAATGACAGCGCTAATGGCTTATCATGGAAGCGTGTCTTCTGCTTTGCGTTATAGACTTGTATTGTGGGGAAGTGTATTGACATTGATAAAGCCTTTGTACTACAGAAGAAATGTGTGAAAGCGATTTGCCAAGTCGGACCCTTCGAATCATGTAGACCTTTATTCAAGCAGTTCTGGTTACTCACTCTACCCTCAATGTACAATCTTGAGGCCTGTATGTTTGTCAAAAAAAATTTAAAAATGTTCGAACATAAACATTACTCATATTTATGCAGGTTACCAAATCGCTTGACTGGCGCTTCTAGTAAAACTACGTGTTTTATGAGAAATAGTTGTAAGATGTCTATAAAATTGTTTAATTTAACACCTGACTATGTAAAACAAATGTCTCAAAGGGAATATTGATTTTTTAGATGAATGAAATGAAATGATGAATGATGAAACAGTTTAGATGAATTTCTCATTTATAAATTTATTTAAATTATGATGATTAGAATACATTAAATATTGTAAATTAACCTTTATATCATAATTGACATAAATAATGACAAAAATTGACACAAATTAATAAATAATAAAGATGATACGATACGACTGCTATGATATAATATTGTAAAATTATGCATGTCAGAAATGGCGCAACACACTTGCACTTCAGAGACCAAGTATTATGCACTTTTACCATCACCAATACCGTGTTTACTTGCAAATAAACAATTTTTATTTCATTTCATTATGATTATTTTCACAAAGATCGAAACACTAAGAAAAAATCATTCGATCCAGTTAGATCGAATGAATCTATGGGAGTCTGTTAAATTCGGTGGTTTGGGAAAAACAGCAAAACATCTAATTACAAAACAAACGGAATCACATTTCATCGGTAATTAAATACAAATATGTAATTTTTCAATTTTCGTCCATTATAGCAAAGCTCAAGTTAAACTGGTCTATTTGAAGTGAAATAATTGACGACACCATTCTATTGTTACGAATTCGGGCTGGCCAATCGGAGCGCAGTTGTCACCGTAATGAAATGGCAGAATAGTTTTCAAATAAATTAAATGACATTTAGTCTCTATTTCTGGTTATATACTCGCTATATCTAAGTATACTCGACGATCATGGTAATAAAACATCGTGAGATTCAAAAAACTTAAAAATTAAAACCATTTCCCCTAACTTTCTGATTAAAGGACACCCGTGCCCAGAATTGATCACGATTATGATGAATATGGTTACCTGCAGCAAGAGTCCAAGGTCTTGCGGAAAGCGGCTCTGAAGTCCCTGTTGAAGTACGCATAGATGAGCGGGTTCAACGCTGAGTTGAAATAGCCCACCCAGAACACCCCTGCTACGACGGGCGGGGGTGAAGGGCAGGCGTCGCCGCAGAGTGCAGTTATTATATACCTGAATAGAAAATTAGAAAATTACTGAATAGAAGATTTAATAGATTTCAAAGAAATTAACATTTTTACTTTTGTTTCACATAAAAGAAAAGTAGTTTTTTCTTGCAAAATAGTCATAAATATAATATTATTACGAGGAATAAAAACAAACTGGACGTTCTTGACAGTAGACTTCATAAAGTCACACTTTTAAATAAAAAGGGCAATGAATGCTTACAATTTCGCTACAATAAGATCCCGTTTGATATTGAAAATTTGACATTTACTAGATTTAAAACCACAGAACAATAAATACAGTAGAAGTGATTAGTTGGCGTCTGATGCGTGCCAACCATGGATTTACAAATAAATGGACGACGGGTCTAATACAAAAACCACGAAAAAAATGTCCCAAGTCAACCTATTTAAACGTAGTGACATTTAAAGTAATATGAAAATGCTAAAACGTTGAATTGAAATTATAATGTCATCGCAGTACTGTCTAATTTTGCTTGCTTCGCTGTCAGTCGAACAAACGAAGACTAAAGCGTGAATGACGCTCTGTATACGATTATAACGCCCTATAAGTTCGGACACTTTTTAGCGCGGACCCGACGTCCATATAATTGTAAGTCAATGGTGCCAACAGTAGGTCTCGTTAGACCTGCTTGAGCTCAGTCCGCTGTTTTTGTTTTGTATGGTATGGTTGTGTCATTATTACTCTAAAATCGTAGATAAACGCCTTACTGTGATGTTTTGGAGTGCAAAAGTGATAGCCGCACCAAAAACATAACCTGTAGTATTATTTCATAACATATTATCGAATTCAATTTTTGTACTGTAACAAACGAAAGTAAACATTATCCAAGAGCAATATGGTCGAGTTTTATCTTTTTGATAACTAAGGCAACATCTCGAATTTTCACGCTAAGAGTGTTTTTTTAATTTTGAACTTAATTGATCGAAATAAAGTTCATTATGCAATGTGTGCGTTAAAGAAGGCTTATGTTGTCAGGAAGATACTACTTTCCATTCATTCAGATGTTAATCGTTCGTCGTAGTTCAGCTACTGGCCGCAAGATGGCAGCACATTGAATACATGTACATGTGAACCAAAAACACAACAAATTATAGAAATGTTTACGTCATTTATTTTATTTTACAAGCACTTCAAACGCGTCCGGTCCTCACTCGGTTTTAGGGTTCACTGAAAATGAGCGTCACAACCTTTACTCAGCTGTGATATTACCTGAGTGGATCCTTTTACATACCACAGATGACACACACATGACATTTATTCAAATTGAGTTGACTGTTTAAAATTGCATTATGGTTGCTTCGTTGTTTTTTTTATGTTGTTATTTTATTTATTGTTTTACTTTTGCTTTGAGTTTATTTCTTTCGGTATATTTTGTGTTGTGGCGTTATAATAAATGAATTTTGTTTTATTCTAATATTAATATAATATGCATACTAATGACTCACCATAAAAAGAACGGTAGCCAGCACGCCAAGAAGGCAGACATGATGATGCCTAGCGTCCTTGCCGCTTTTCTCTCCCGTTTCATCTTGCTACTGGCCATGGGCTGCATTTGTATACTTTGCCGTTCCCGCATCGCTTCTCCCATGGAGATCCCATTGATTTGAAGATGCTTGTCCAGAAGAAGGGCAGCTACTTTACTCCTAGAGAAACAAAGATAATATTTCGTGAAATAGTGTACAGTAACTTTCTTCTGCTTTAGTTGGTAATCAGCTTAACAAGTTCAATACAATAAAATATAATTTATTTTATTTTATTATCTAAATATCGTAAACATTGAGATTTTATAATCATCTATATTGTCCTCACAATGTACCCGCTACGATGCGATGTTTAATGTATAAGTGCATCATTAAAAAAAACGCACACACTCTTCGCATAGTAGAAAAAAACAAGTAAGGTAACTCCGTACAAAATAACGGCGCGCGTTATATGTGTGCGCAGCCGCCCCGCGTCGAGTACGGACGCACACATTCGCATAATAATGAAACATACACGGCGTGCGGTGGGCGCGCACACATTAAAGACACGCTGCGACGTTTTAGTGGGGTTACCAACCTGCCTTGATTACTATCAGCACCGCCGTCGCCAAAACTTACATAGGTATTCATAACTTGAAACACTATGAAATCTTGATAATGATTGGTCGTAGTTTCTAATTTGAAAAGAAATAACAAATTCTGAACTTTTAATATACTTTAATGTTGTTGACATATCATTTTCAATACCAATTATTTCAGGTTACGACGTTTTGATTTTATATTGAAGTTTCCATCAATGTGCTGCTATCTAGCGGTCAATTGCTGAACGACGTCGAATTCGAGATGTTTATTTAGTTCTTCAAAACGGAAACAACCATATTTATGCGGTATCAGTTTTCGTTTCTTGTAACAAAAAAATATTACGATTAACAGAAAATTGAAAATTTATTAAAATGTAATAAAACTAAACGACGATAACATGACACCACCATAGACAATATTACAAGTGTGACTATCATTTTTGCACTCCACAGCAGCATAATAAGGTATTATTTTACGATTTTCAAGATTTTGCGCGATATAATTGGCACGATCATAACGCGGAAAAGGTCAGAGCTCAAGTTCGTCGAACTCCGCGGAATGTTGGCACACGTGACATGCAAACTACGTAGTTCCACTGTATTTAACTGCCTCTGTGGCCGAACGGTTACCATGCCGGACTGCCACGCAGAGGTCCCAGGTTCGATTCCCGGGCCGGGAGAAATGTTTATATGGCCTACAATTATTTCTCTCGTGAGTTTGGGTGTAATTTGTGGTTGTCTATATGTGTGTCCATGGCACCCGCGACACAGGGTTTACCTAGTGCGGGGCTATGTTGAGTGTGCGCGTTATTTATTATATATTATTATTTATTATTTATTGTTTTGTGCGGTAAACATTGCAGACGTCAGATGAGGACGGTCCGAATTTAGGGAACGTATACGTGTATACTTATTGACAATCTTCTTTTGCACGTTGCAAAGCGAAAATGGCGGACTGAACTTAAGTATGTGGAACTTCGCGTACTGCGGGCACAGTATTGTATCCGCTCACGCGATACATGCAGCCGTAGACGCATACCACACCTAGAGGTGCCGGTGATGATTTTATACCGATTTATCGGATATCGAAGTTATAACAGGTAAAAGAACTAATACTAATTGCTATTTCGGTAACTACTCTAGCAAACCATAAAGTTTTTAATGCCTGGGTCTGTCATTTAAAAAAAATAAAGAACTTCAAAAACACGTCACGACAATCGTGTCTGTTATTGTTTGGGCTGATGATTTCGGTGTTTATTTATTGAAAACATACCGTAAGTAGCGTTTTTTAAGTTTACCCTGAATAAATCTTTATAAACTATACTTTAAGGAGTAATTTCATGGTAAACGTTAGAATCACTCCAACGGAATATTATCATATTTACCCAAGTACACCAAAAATTTCATAAGTGCTTTTTAAGTGCAGGATTTGCGGTGTATTACTGCATTTTATTTGAGATGTTTTTGTTGTAGTACGGAGGGTATTTATTTAGCAATGCAGAATAATAATTTTTATTTATAAAAACTTGTAATTAAACTAAATCCTTTTCTAATTTGCGAAACCAAATAGTCGCCATTTTGCGATAGGATGAGCGCATCGCGTGAGCGGATAATTATTGTTCTGTGGTAGTAACCACTTTGTTTCGTCTGACTGTTTGAGATGACCTCGATGGTCCAGTTATTTATAATGAAGGCGACAGACGAGAAGTGTGATAGGACATCACGCCTGATGCGGATAGGAAACTTCGCACGTTTTTCAAAAGTTATAAACCATCTTCGACATGTCTCATCATACCATTTTCTTTCACCGTGAACGAAATAATCTACTAACGTAACTAATGTTATGTAACTGAAATAAGATTACGTAAAAACGCTTCTTTATTAATAAAATCATGTTTGTATACTCCGCCTCTATCCATAATAAGAATTACGCAAAATCCGCCCACAGTAACAAAAGGTCTTGCAAAGAAAACGATCCGTCTAACTCTTGATATTTTACCGACAAAGAAAAGGTTGATCTCCCACTTGATGATAAATGGAAAATGAATCGAGAAACAAAGCGAGAGTCCGCCTACTTGGGTTAAACAATTTACTTAAAGAACGGTTGCAAGCGATCTACTTTTTGCGGGGTTGTACCAAAATGATTTTACCGACAGCCACGCACTGACCCCGCCCAATTTATAATAATAATTAAGCGCAGACCACACCGCTCACGTAGCTGGGGCATCTATCATACTTCGGTTCACACCGCAAATTAAGCTTACTAAACTAACTCAACGAGCCCTTCTGCCGCCCTTCACCCCCGCACTTAACACATGTAACACATCACTACTTACTATGTATCTTCTTAGCTTAACTTTGCATGCAACTACATGGGCTAAGTTAAGTTAGCTTAGCTTCGTTCGCGGTGTGGCCTGCGCTTTAACTGTTACACTATCGCCGTGCACCGGCCCCTCCCATCTTTCGCAATCCCTTGATCTATACACCGCTACGGACTGCGTGACCGCGGAGGAACCTCCTTGAGCTTCCTTGATCGGTAAAATCACGGATCGAAGGAAGTCGCCTTTACACATTCCTATTAGCCTATACTAGCATAGTATAATAAGAGCAAGAAGGGAGGCGTATAAATGCGTCGGAGCGTAGGGTTGTTACATTTTTATTTTAATTGTACCTACAGGTTGTAAATATAATTTTGAAAATCACAATATTCTCGTGCTATATTGAAATAACCTTTGTTAAATACAGTAGGTACTTCTCGATGGTACTTATGAATTGATATTTTTATACCAACGTCCATAACCCGCATTGGTATCTTGAATATAGATTATGAATATGAAATAGAAATAAAATGCTGAATAATTCTGAATTTGTTGCACTCTTGTTCAAACAACCACAAACATAACAATAAACTTGTGTACTATTTGATGGAATTTTTTTAAACATCGAGTAACTGCCGACCGATAATAAACTTATGCAACGCAAAAGCACTACAAGATTATGCGAGTGTGCGTGTAACTGGCGCGCGGGCGTGCACACATACAAATCGCGCTGATACGTTTGTGTCGAGTTATCATATTTATTTTATTATACAATAACACTAGTTTTGACTTTTCACTGTGTCAACCGCTATAATCGAAATCTATAAACCGGTCATTCTCTGACTAGTGTTCACTACCTAATTTCGGTGGGAATTTTTATTATTTGAATATTCAAGTGTATTATCGTGTAATGATTAAATAAAAATAAAAAAATATTTCACGATACAATACTCGAATATGAAATAATATTGCACGATAAAAAATCGGATACTTAAATAATAAAAATTGTCACGGAAATTAGGTAGTGAACATTGCACTTTTATGCGAATGTGTGCATTTCACACACACACACTTTAGTAGTAGTAGAGCTCCTTGTGAAGAGTTCGTCCAGGGAAGTACTGCGACCTTAACTATTTCTGCCGCCAAGCTGTAGTGTTAGCATTACTGTGTTCCGCTTTTGAAGGGTAGGGGTACTGGCGATTTTACAGGCACGTGGGACTTGATAACGTATGTCTCAGGGTGTCGGGTGCAGTGGCAGTGCCCCTCAGACCTTTACGATTGGAAACTCTAAGTGGCACTGCCACATTATGGACGAGTGTAGCTTGCCATCAGGCGCGCGACTTGTTTGTCCTGTCACTTGATATTATAAAAAAAACTAGTCCGAGAATGACTGATATAAGAGAATAAACGTTAGAAATTGATCTCGTTTTTTTGTAACGAAAATTGTTTACAACATGGCAAAAAGCTCAACATTGTTTAACTTCAATGTATGTAAATGGAAGCAAAATGGTGTAAAAAGGTTTATAGGCTTTGCACAAACAGACAGTCCTATTACAATAACATTGGTGTATGATAAAAATGAGTGACGTGAACAAAAAGGTTTCAGCATTTTAGATTTATTTTTTTGTATGCGGTTAGGCTCAATTTACATTTCCGCGGATCGTAATACGAAGAAGGAATTACGAAGAATTGTAACGTAATTGTACATAGCATAATTAACTTTACGTCAGTTGTCTAAAACGTACAAACTAAATACGATACGGTAGCTGCGGTAGTTACCGAAACTACGCGAGAATTACGAGATGCACGATCTGTTTTGGGCTCGTATCCAGAGAAGGGGATTAAAATCCAACCAACCCGCCCGGATTCTAACCAATTTCTGCCCAAAATCGTGGGCAGAAAGGGCGAATACGGAATTTGGCATTCTCACTACTCGATGCATTTCGATAGGATTTTCAAGTGAATCGATTCAATAGAAAGGATGTCGAATCGTCTAGAAACAATAAACATTTATATTAATAATATCATTCCATTTGAACAAAACTCAATTTACGTAAAATATTATTAATACAAATATCGAACACATAAAAAAATTTCTTCGACTCAATGGGACTTGAATCCATGAACACGCTGTAGGTAAGTGACCGTAGCGTCGCTCTATTTATACCACTGTTCTACAGGTCAAGTTATCAAGTTGATAAAATTCTATGTGTTTTTGTAATACATCTTTCTACTGGATTTCGGCTTTCGGCGCAACAACGCT